ATCAGGGCTCTGGTGCACTGGCCTGGGGGCGTGCGGTCCGTCGTGCAGACCCCGCCTCCCTGGAAATAAAATATATTTTTTAAGAAATAATTTCAGAAAGAAAATAAAATAAAAACTGGTGAAACACAGGAGGCAACACATCAACGAAATAAATTGTGTAAAATTAAATCGTGATGCAACGTGCTAATTCCAGGTGTGTTTACACTGTCAAAGGTGCAGCTCAGGAAGTATTATGCATATGAGAAATGACAATCAGAACACAAGGTAAGTTGGTTATTACAAATTAGTGGTGTGAGAGAGTCAATATGCATATGGGACAGAATGTAAAAAGGACAAATCCAGACAGAGAAAGTGGAGATTGTGACATTCATGATTTTTTATTGGTATTGTTTAAATAAAATTATAGTGAGTTGAATTATTGAATAGTGTCACTCTTAATTTTCCAAGTCTGATGTGTTGGTCCGGAGATGGTAACGGGCCGAGTTCCCTCCGCTCTCTATCCTGCATACAGGTTCAGGTGAATAATGAGGTGAGGAGATGGTAATGAAAATGAGTAGGGATGATGATGATGATGATGATGATGATACAACACGTCAAGCTCGGCCTTCCCAATGTGAATTTAAGAGGTAAGTGATACATTTGAAATTGGTAAAAGTCCATGGTGCCGTATGAGTTATGTATAAGGTTGTAATAACATGTTGAATAACTATGATGTAATGTGTTGTGAATTATCTTGTGTGTGATGTGCTGTAATTAATCTATGTGTCATGTAGGTCTGAAATTAAGTTGTCCAGCTCCCCTAGCCAGTGGGAGAAGATAGCACTGGCTGTCTCTGTAGTCCACTGTATGTTGTCAGTTTGTGTTATGAAATCCTGGTCCGGGAAAGCTGAGAAATGTGTATAGTGTTTTATTATGTGATTATTGATTATTGCCAGATTGTGCTGTTCTATTGCTGGTAGATGTGGTGAATGGTTGATAATAGGAACGATTATGGAAGCATTAGGGAAGGCCGAGCAAGCCTTGTTGACCACAGTTCTGAGCTGTTTCACAGAGGTGTTGTGGGGATCCTGAGCCCTGTTATTTAGGCCCACCGAGAGGATCAGCACTTTTGGGTTTCTGTTAATTGGTGTTTTTTCCAGAATCTTCCAGAAATGATAGAAGGAGGCTCCCGGGTAGCTGTCAGCCTGGACAAAAGGGTGGTTAAATTTGGGGATTCTGTGTATGTTTGAATCCCCCAGTATGGCAATTGGTTTATTAATTTTGAATTCCCAGTCCCGCAGCTTGCGGTTGTCTCTGGCCTGATGGTAAGTGGGGTCAGAGGCTGTGTCTGCGCATGCGCCCGCGCCCCGGTGGGGAGAGCCCCTCGGCTCGGTACGTCTCCCCGGCAGGTGTATTTTTGGAATGGGTGAGGAAAGATCAGAGTTGGAATAGTAGTCTGTCATGTTGACTTTTTGACCTAAATTACTCATCATTTCATTTTTCCTCACAGATTCTGTGTTACACCGGGGAGCCGCCTCTGCCTCAGTGGGTGCGCTCTCCCCACCCTGATGTGATCTGGGCGCGGGCGCCGGGAGATGGAAGGTGCCGTTTAATACTGACCCCAGGCCAGACTCTGCATGAACGCAGGTAGGTGTTGGGGTGCTACTGCGGGACTGGGAGCCCTGTGTGTCATTATTGTTTTTTTGAGTAATTATGTTTGTTACTCCAGGCTGACAGCAGTCCTCGGGAGCCATGGCATTCACCGTCCTCTGGGGGCAGCGCCTGTGGGGGGAAGTAGGAGGTGAGTGGTAGTCTGGGACTGGGGTGTTGTCCAGAGGCTGTGGAGAGATGTGGTTAGGCTGAGGAAAAGAGGGCTCCGTGTTAGGCAGGTGAGGAGGGAGGGAAAAAGAAAAATCCTCATCTGAATCACAATATTTCAGGGGGGAGGAAGGGTTAGAAAGAGTGGCTGTGGTGAAGAGCAGATCATGTGCAAATGTAATTGTGTCTGGATCGATTCTGTTGCCGTAGCGTCTAAGAGCCCATTGTGTGGCTACTGTAAACGCCAACTCGTTGCCAGGGGTGTTAAGGAGATGTGTGATTATGTCTTTGTAATGTGCTAATAAAATGTGCATGTTTTGCCATAACCAAGTGAGTGTGTTTTCTTTGAGTGTGTCTGTTGTGTTTTGTGATGGAGAGGATGGTTTTATGAAGCTGGCCAGTTGGAGTGTTTTGCGTAACATCCCTTTAGGAATTTCGCCCTCCTCAAAAGCCTGCTGTATGTTGTTGTGATGATGTGTGGCTTGTATAAGTTTTAAGTGATGTTTAGCTGCAAAACGGGTGGATGTGTCCAGTGCCTGTTTAATTGGTGTGTGTGTGTTCGTATGTGCGGTGTTGTTTGTGCCGTGTGTGCTGCTGTGTCTGCTTTCCGGTCCGCTCTGTGTGTGGGGAGAAAAAGAAAAAGAGAGAGAGGGAGGGGTCCTGTAAGTTGCAGCCGCGGGTCTGCCTGCTCCCCCCCGACCCCGCTCGTGTCGGGGTCCGCTGCCCTCCGCCCTGTGTGCACCCGTGTGTGTGTGTGACCCACCTGCGTCCATCTCGCTGCATGCGGTTGTTGCGGTTTCTGCGTCATGTCGTTCCGTGTTTCCGGGTTCTCTGTGGAGTAGACTGGGTGGAAAAAGTCTTATTTCTTTTTAATCCAACAGAGGAGGAAGCCGACAGTTGCGGGAGAGGAGGATGAAGCGCTCAGGTAGGCAAGGTGTTCACACCGGGTGCTATTAAAACGTAACTTTTAATGATTTAAATTTAAAAAACCAACGAGGGTCCTGGTTCCGAATAATAAAGAGACTAATTAAAAAGTTTAAGGAGCGGCAGCGGCTCCGCTGACAGAGCAGGATCCCCTGACGTTTCGTGCCTCGCCGGCACTTCTTCAGAGGGGAAATGAAAGGGGGAAAGGGTTAGGGTTAGGGTTAGGGTTAGGGTTACCTGCTGGAGGGCCTGGTGCGGTGGAACGAGAATCGAGGCAGGGCGGCAGTTGAGGGAGGACAGAGGTCGGCGCTGCGTTGCTACAGTGCCCAGCTGCAGCACAGCTTCGACCAGCTGACCCAAGAGCTTCTTGGGCTCACGCTGGTCGACACTTACACCGTGCCCAGGGAGTACACAGGTAAGTCATAAATCTGTCTGAGGTAACGGTAACGTTTAACACCTGTCTTAGGTGTCTGTCATTTAACATCTCCTGACACTCCAGGGACTGATGAGGAGGAAGCGGGGGGGGGCAGTGATGAAGGGTTCGAGGAGGAGGAGGAGGAGGAGGAGGAGGAGGAAGAGGAGCCAGAGGAGATTCGTCTCCTCGAACACCACAGCGCTCTCCTTCAGTCCTCAAACCTCACCCGCCCCCCCCGCTTGGACCTAATGGAGGTGCAGCAGGCTGAGGAGGAGGACGTTATCGGGCCAGACGGTCGAGGCAGCTACCAGCACGTCGTGGCCCTGGCCCAGGCCCTCGTGGAACTGCGCCACCGCCGCTACGTCACTCCCAGGCAAGCCAGAGAGGTCACCGCTCTCTGGCTGAAATTGAGTGACTGGGACAAGGCGGCGGTCACATTCCCCCCCCGTCACCAGGACCGGCTCGTCCAGGGCCGATTCAGGACCACCCAGCGGCACGCTCACACACCAGGGGTGGATAGTGTGAAGCGGTAAGCAGTCACAATAAATTTCCAAGCTTTGTTTGGTTCTTGTTCTGTGCTGTCAGTCACTAACTAACTCACTCTCTCTCTCTCTCTCTCTCTCTCTCTCTCTCTCTCTGTGTGTGTCAATGTAGTGCGGTCCTGGGCAAGGGGGCGGGAGCGGCGCAGTCTCCCGATGTGTCGAGGCTTGTGGAGGCTGTCCTGCTGGACCTCAGCATCCTCCACTGCAGTGAGGGGAGGACGATTGCCGGGGTCCGCATTCATCGCTGGAGTGCCGTCATGAGGGACTATCAAACAATTCGAGAGAATGTTTATAGTTGTGCAGCCCTCATGCAGGCACCCGCATCCAGCTGTATGAGGTCAATCAGCGGACCCTGACGCAATGTTAAGACCTGATCCTTTCTCTCACATCTGATCTGAAGTGGCATTTGTGTGTGTGTGTGTGTGTGTGTGTGTGTGTGTGTGTGTGTGTGTGTGTGTGTGTGTGTGTGTGTGTGTGTGTGATGTCATGATTACTAATGTGCATTTGTTACATTCTGTTTTTTAAGGCACACCAAGAGGAGCAAGGCGATGATGAGGGACACCATCGCCATTGCAGTCCCGGGGCCCAGCGCTTCCCAGACTGCAGCGGAGCCCCTGCCTGCCCCACGGACTGTGCTGCAGCAGCCTGAGCAGCCAGACCAGCCCCTCCAGCACCGCCTGCCTGCGGACGCTTCTGGTCTGGCTGCCACCATCAGAGGGCCGCTGGCCCCGGAGCTATACGACCTCATCGTCGCCAGCTCCTCAACTGCCACCACCTCCTCCTCCTCCTCCTCCTCAGCCACCCCACAAGCCTCCACCAGTGTCAGCGCGGACGCCGTCCGTCCACCAGTGCCAGCGCAGACGCCGTCCCGTCCGCCAGCGCAGAGGCAGGTGTCACCCCCTCCACAGCCACAGCTGCCACTGCTCCACCAGTGCCTAGAAACACTGCCTGGAGGCGCAAGCTCCAGGAGGAGAAAGAGCGTCGTGCCCGGGAGCTGGGAGAATATATGAAACCAGCAAAGAAGGTCTCCCACTTCAACTGCAGGCACTGTGGCCAACCAAAGACGCGGGCGTTTGGCCACAGCCGCTACAAGACGGAGACCTTCTGCTCCCGGGCCGACGGGAAAGGGAGAACTGTGGAGCAGTGGCTGGCAGAGGTGAAGGGGCGTGATGGTGCAGCCCCCCCTCCCTGAGCGAACACTTTGTGTGTGTGTGTGTGTGAGTGTGTGATGGGGCAGCTCCCCTCCCTGAGCGAACACTTTGTGTGTGTGTGTGTGTGTGAGTGTGTGTGATGGGGCAGCTCCCCCTCCCTGAGCGAACACTTTGTGTGTGTGTGTGTGAGTGTGTGTGATGGGGCAGCTCCCCCTCCCTGAGCGAACACTTTGTTTGTGTGTGTGTGTGTTTGGGAGGGAGGGATTTGTAAATATTGTGTATATAGTGTATTTAGTTAGTCAGTTGTGTTTGTTAAATTAATATTATGTATATAGTTGTCATATATAAGTTATACCTTTTTATTTGTCCCACAATGGGCAAATTCCAATATCTATATAGTTGTATATAGTTGTCTTAATTGTTTTAGTTTAAATAAACTTTTCTTTTTTTAAACCAATGCTTTCTCCTGCTTCTTTCTGCCTTTAAGAAATTAAATAAATATAGGGAAGACTAGGTATCTAGAATAGGTGCCTGATATCAGTAAATCCCCACAAGTTACAGTCACAATACATCATTCCCTCTCCTCACTTGAAACTAGGGTCAAGGGGTCAACCAGGTCAGGTTCAAAGGCTTACTTAGAGACTAGGTGAGAATTGGCCTTTTACAAGTGGACATTGTAAAACAACAGGGGGTGCCGAGGGGCCTTCACTTCTCACCTCCTGGCTTCCTGATTAAAACAACAGGGGGGCTCTTATCTCCTGCGAGAACTTGGGGGTTTGACCGGACTGAGAGAGGGCCGAACTGGTAGGTGTGTCTCCCCCAAGAGGGGTTTCAAAAAAAAGGCAAAAAACAGACAGTCAATTCATTCAAGCATTTTATTTGGACAGAATGGAAGGCAGAAAAGCAAAGCGAAAAACCAGACATGTCACTTCATTAGGTTTGTTACAAATACACTTTTTAAAACTACATATGTGTTTCTATGTACCTTGACTAACAGAGTTCTGTATTGTATTTTATATTTTAGGGGACTACGACTGCACATCCTCCTCATCCTCCTCCTCCTCAGCCTCCTCATCCTCCTCGTCATCCTCCTCCTCCTCCAGCTCCTCTCCTCGACAGCTTCAGGCAGCAGAGCCAGTGGCGGGGACCAGCAAGCCCACCCGTTGCACTGTCTACAGGCGCAAAATTAAAGCGGCAAAGGACAAAAAAGTCCTCCAAAGTAGCAGGGGAAAGCCACAGCACCAGCCTGGGGACCCCTGCTACATCTGTGACCAAGCACGCACGGTGGATGGTGGCCACGCGTACTTCAAGGGCCAATACTTTTGTGCTGTGAAAGAGGGCCCTGGAGGACGCACAGTGCAAGAGTGGACCAGGGAACAGCTTGGCCCTGGTGAGCTGCAGAAGCTCCCCAGAACAACAGCCTGGAACCTCAAATGAAGGTATGAGAAACCAGAGAAACCGGGGGGGAAAGTGAGGAAGCCCCACAAACTGAGGATCTGCCAGCTCTGTGGCCAGCCACAGCAGAAAGACTTTGGCCACAGCCAATATGGGGGAGAGCACTTCTGTGCTCTTTATGAAGGGAAGACTGTGGAGCTGTGGCTGGCTGAGAAGAGGTCAAAAAAACATTAAAATTATCCAACTGTACTGTATCATCCAAGCACCTTATATGTTTCATCTGTTCATTGCACCTTATATTTTTTATTTTTACTTTGGACTGCATTATACTGGTTATTTATACATTTTTTATATTGCATTCTATATTGCTTTTTTTGATTGTGTGTGTGTGTGTGTGTGTGTGTGTGTGTGTGTTTGTTGTTACTGTGTGTAATGCTGCTTCTACACTGCAATTTCCCTGCTTATGTTATACATTTTTAACCTTTCTAATAAACATTTAATTGATTAAATCCTTGTCTTCTCTATTTAAATATTTTTTAACTTAACTTTTTAAACCTGGAGCCATTCATGAGGCCAAAACCATTCAAATATTAATGTACATTTAACCAAACAAACCTGGAGCCATTCATGAGGCCAAAACCATTCAAATATTAATGTACATTTAACCAAACAGGTCTCGTCGCTTTAAATGCGTGCGGGGCCTTTAATTCTCCGTGTCGCCGCCGTATGATAAGTAGCCATGTGCTCGGGATGACGTAGGACAACAGCTTTTGACTGACACATGTCGAGAGAAGGGGGGGGAAAGGGGGGATCGTTCCAATTCTTTGGCGTTATAATCGGGAGAAATAGAAGGAGAGGCTCTTTGGGGCTGCTTTTTATCACACGAGCCCGGGGAAATGCGGCCGACCGGGGGCCGGGGGGCCGGCTGCGCGCGCCGCCCTCGGCGCTCCGCACGGCTCCCTTGCTTCTTCGCGCAATATGACCAGCAATGGTCTCTGTATGCCAGCCAATGAGCAGCAGCCAGTGCTGTCGAGCGTTAGTCGAACGTTGTCAGCTCTGGGCCAATGAGCAGCCAGTGCTGTCGAGCGCTAGTCGAGCGTTGTCAGCTCTGGGCCAATCAGCAGCTCGGATTGTCGAGCGTTAGTCGAGCGTTAGACGTTAACGCCCACCTCTTAACCTCACCGGCTGCCGTATGCGACGGACAGAAATCCCCGTGTGTATTTGAGAGAGCAGTGAGATCTGAGAGAGTGAGTAAAACCAAAATAAATAGAATATTAATGTACTGATATAACACAGCGACCCCACTGTACTGTTACGATGTACTGAATGGAGTTAATGTTTTATTACGTTCTGCCGGCACTCTCTGGTTAGCTTATGCTAATATTGAACGTGGACGTCAGGCGTCCTGTTTACACATTTAAACCATATTTATACTTCGAATTTCGACTCCAAACTGTAGTAACTACATCTACAGGGTCTAAGGAAGATAATCAGGTAGTCTGTTTATAGATTAAATACATTGTGAGAGATCGCCAGCCCTCAGAAAAGTAGTAACTAAAATGACCCCATTCACCTCCTTGTTTTTAGTTAGCAAAATCGCGGCTGGTCTGTTTACACATTTAAACCATATTTACACTTCAAATTTTGACTCCACATCGTTGTACCAGCATCCCAAGGGTCTTAAGAAGTGAGCCAAGTTGTCTCATCACGTTTTTAAAGCGTTTCCAGAGATCGTCAGCTCATCACAGCAGTGGCTAAATGCTCATTCATTTCCAACGCTTAGCATGCTAATAGCGATTTATATGCTAACGCATCTAAAGCACAGTTAAACTTTAAATATCAACTCCACACAATAGCAGTACAACATCCTAGGTCTCAACAAGTAAACACAGTATGGGAATACTATTTTAAACACATTTCACCGATCGGTAATGACATCGGCGGCAGTGCTAACTTACGCTAACGTTACATTGGCTCGCTGTTTCACTGCTAACTGATTACTGTATAATATATAAGCTGCCTTTTCGCTGTAGCACATAATCTGTTTAAAGATTAAATACATTTTGAGAGATCGCCATTATGTAATGTAATGTAACGTAGCTGTAGCTAGGATGCTACAGTATAATTACAACATGTGACGATCTCTGAAAACAAAATTAAAGTATGAAAAGACTATACAGTTAATGTCCTTAGAGCCTTAAGGTTATAATATCACCAGGTGAAATCAAAAGATAAAGTTTAAGTGTATGTTTTATACATTAACAATAAGCCTGTTTGTTTAATGGCTGCCAATGCATAGGGGGCTAACCCTGGGCTCATTATTTACCTGTTGTGTCACGTGATGTTAGTTTGTTAACGGTAATGTTTCAATAGTGAATGTGAAGTACCAGTATATCATTAATCTTATGTGTGATATTCCTGGTAATATAGCAGTTAATATGTAGTTTAACCTGTAATGCTCCTTTAATGCTGTGCTGTGTCATTTCTTGTCATTGTAGAAATGGTTTTTGCAAAACTGCAATTCACAGCCTCGCAGCAGCTTCTCCTGCGGGCCTCTGGTGAGGCGGTGGCCTACATCGCCGCCAAGGGGCCACGCGGGGCCGCCGCTGCTGCGAGGGCCAAGAAGCCGGAGGAGGTGGAGAAGGAGGCACAAGCCCACGTCGTCTCCACGGGCGGTGACCCTGGGAACCACATGCTGGTGCTGAGCTGCCACAGCATCCAGTTTGGGAAGTACCAGGGTCAAACGTTCCGTTGGCTCCTGGAGAACGACGTGGGCTACACGGTACAGTTGGTCGCCAGCCACCAGCGGGAGCGGGAGAAGAGTGCCTCCGACAGCCCCCCTTATGGCCAACAAGGACGCTCTCGCCCAGTACTCGTGCACCCACCCGGAGTTCGCTGAACACATAAGATTCCACCGGGCGCACGAGGAGGCCCGGGCTCGTGCCAGTCAGCCCGGGTGTGAGGGCGAGGCCCTTGTTGGCTTTGGGAAGTTTAAAGAGGACACCCTGAAGGACCTGTACGAGTCCTCTGATAAGGACCGCCAAGGGTGAGTGATTGGTGCTACACACAATGGATTGTGAATTGCTGTATGTCATTATTGTTCACTAATGTGATGCCGTCCATGTTGTAGATTTGTCAAGTGGCTTCGAGGGAAGACACTGCACCCTGGGACTGCAATGGACGCCGCCAGGAAGTACATCCTGGGCCGAGACGCGGAGCGGTCGGCAGAGGCGGCAGCTGCGGCTGCTACCCCCCCTCCACCCACCAGCAGCCGCAGCATCAGCAGCAGCGCCCCCACCACCACCAGCAGTGGCCCCAGCAAGGCCGCTGCTTCCACCGCGCTGTAGCCACACAAGCCGATCGCCTCCAAGATCGCCGCCGGCGTCCCATGGGCCCAGGTGAGCTGCAGGCCAAGGTCAGGAAGCTGATGACCACACCTGCACAGCCTGCAGTTCGAGGTAGATCTCTTTCTTTCTCTTTAACACAACAGAGTACAGTTCACTGTACATGATTTACTAACCATTGCCCAACCCCCCCCATAGCGGTGTCTACATCCTTCAGAGACCAGCGCCCCTCGGTTCCGCCGCCGCCCCACGCCACAGAGGTGACGGACGAGGAACTGGTCCAGATGGCCACTGACATAGAAACAGGTAACTGGCACCAAACTGGACGTGTCACATTTGCCATCAAT